AACACCTCCCCAGGGAGGCGTCCAGGAGGCATCCTGACCAGATGCCCAAACCACCTCAACTGACTCCTTTCGATCCGGAGGAGCAGCGGTTCTACTCCGAGTCCCTCCCGAATGTCCGAGCTCTTCACCCTATCTCTAAGGCTGAGCCCGGCCACCCTACGGAGGAAACTCATTTCAGCCGCTTGTATCCGCGATCTCGTTCTTTCGGTCATTACCCAAAGCTCATGACCATAGGTGAGGATTGGGACGTAGATCGACCGGTAAATCGAGAGCCTGGCTTTCTGGCTCAGCTCCCTCTTCACCACGACAGATCGGCTCAGCGTCCGCATCACTGCAGATGCTGAACCAATCCGCCTGTCGATCTCCCAATCCCTCCTACCCTCACTCGTGAACAATCTGTTGTTGAGAGACCAATCCAGAAACTGGTACTTCTTTTTGAGAGTGATACCTGATTCCTTTAGGGTAACATGTTGGAATGTGTCATTTTCTGATTTTTTCGAAATCATATCTGAAATGTTATGTGTGATCAGATATGATTTTGGTGGGAGTATAGCTGCCAGCTGAGTAGCTGATGGCAATGACCCTTAATTGGCTCACAGAATTTATATAAGCCACACCCTTCCAGAGAAAACGGCTTGGGTTCATTTGTTTGTAGAGAAGATAACACTGTTTGAAGTATTGAAATTATGCCTAAATTATACTGCACCAATTATTTCCACCACAAAGTCTTTATATATACTTAAACTCCTCCACTTGAGGTAGGACCTCTCTCCCGACCCGGAGTTGGCAAGCCACCCTTTTCCGGTCGAGAACCAAAATGAAAAATGTATAGAAAAGAAGTCATGATCTGAGGCACTCCGAAAAAAATTTTTTTATAATATAAGCCAACACTTTTAGGTCGCGTGCGACCTTCTTCGGGGCATCGCATGTTATAATAAATTCTTTTTCGGAGTGCCTCAGATCATGACTTTTTTTCTTCCATATCAACTTTTGAAGTTTTTATGATCTTGAAGAGCACCTGAGATCCTACAGAAATTATAGATATATCTAGTCCCACTGACGCACACACTCCCACCACCGCCATTTTGACCATGTCACAGGTTCCGTCAAGTCCAGACAATTCCACAAAAGGGAAGAGAGGTGGAGCTGAGGGTGTGGCTGAAAGGCTGGGATCAACTGACCACACCCGGTCGAACTAGCTACAAGCTAACCTGAAGCTAACCCAAAGCTAATGCGGAGGTTGGAGCTAAGCTAACAGAGGTAGCAACCTAGCTACGACCGGAGTTAATTGTGCCCAACACCAGAGCTTCTGAGTCAGAGATATGCCGGGCTGACCGCTAGGTAAAACCGGTTGGAACACAGAGGTCTCCCGAGAGCTCCACAAACCGGCAGCCGCACAGCAGACAAGCGCCGCTGCGATCTGAGATGCGCAGAGCTGCCGCTGGGGAGAACCGGGTGGAAAGGTTTCCATCCCAGAGCTCCACAAGCCGGCAGCCCGTGCAGCACACAGAAGCCGCGATCAGACAGAGATGCGCCGAGCTGCGGGGAGGGGAGAAACGGGTGGAAAACATCGGTTTCCATCCGAGAGCTTCACAAGCCGGCAGCCCGCGCAGCAGACAGGAGCCACAGCGATCAAAGATGCGCCGAGCTGTGGGGAGGGTAGAAACGAGTGGAAAACATTGGTCTCCCGAGAGCTCCACAAGCTGATAGTCGGAATCCAGCTCCGCCAACATGTTATATTTCAACCCATTTTCTAAAGTGCAGCATTATGTTAAATGCACTGGGGTTTACCCTATTACATTTAAATTTCATGGTTAAACAGTACATATTAAAATCTAAGCTCAGCTCGGCAGTGACCTAAAATACATAAATATAATTTTACTTACAGAAAAAAATGAAGTGGAGACTCCTTGGACGCTCTATTAGTGCAATTAATGCCACAGCAAGTCATTTTGTCCAACAATTGCACAAAAAATATCCAAAAAAGAATACACAAACACAGAGACTCAAAATGCCGGAACAGTTTCCAGGCCAGACCGAGGCTCTACCGAGGCCTTTCCCTGGAGCTAGCTCTGTGGTCACGTGGGTCGGATGCTCATTAATTATACAGAATTTTAGGCTTTTAATACACTTAAACAGAAGAGTGAGAAAAAAATTCACCCCCCTCAGAGTTGTCATGAGTGTAAACTAGATAATTTAAACAAAAATCATGTTTTGGTACCAGGCTGTAAACATGTTTATTTCTGCTGTGAAATTGGTATTTTTAACATGGGAGTCAATGAGGACTTGCTCGTTTCTGACACCAGCCCCCAGCGGATGAGGGTGGAACTGCAGTTTATTTCATTTCCGCGTTTGCTTCTACTTTTCCAATAATACCTAGCTGTGGACGTAGCCCCGGCCAAACACCCCCCCCCCCCCCCCCCCGGCCAACCCCCACACACACACACACACACACACACACACACACAAAACACGCCCCCCTGTTGAGCTATCCCCGAGCTAAATAACGGCGGCCCTCCCAGCAAACAACACAATTGAAAGAAAATAAATAAAGAAATAGTAATAATGTGATTAATCAGACAGGACTCCAGGTTTAAATATGAATGTATGGATTTTTTTGGCTATCCCCAGGGAGATTATTTTTGTTTCTTGCATACACACATGTATCTGAATCGATTCTAGGAAATGTTCAGTGACATATTTATTTTTTAACCAATTTAAGCCATTCTATGGCGACAGCTTCTGGCAATGGACGTGACGTCGTGTCCGACCAATATTTGCTGGGATGCTTTCTGTTGAACTACACATGTAATTGTCAAATAACAATTTCACATGTAACTGTGGGCATGTACAAATATATCTGAATTAACTTTAGGGAAAAGTTAGGTTACAATTTATTTTTGCCTGTCCTTCCAAGACCATTTTTTATCGTGGACACCACGTTACAGTCAGACTAATATTTCCTGGATGCTATACACGCAACTATTTGTCAAAAAAAACTATAATACATGTAAATGTTGATATGTAAAAATATATCTTAATGGCTTTAAAGGGAATTTTCTGTTACATGTTTTAACAAATTTTACACGTCTGAGTGCGACAATTTTTGGGCTACCACATTGCTGTCGTGAGTTTGCTGCTTATTAGATGAGGAGTCATAAACGGTCAAATAAATAGCCTATTGTTACGTTTATTTTGGCCAAAAGGCTTGCATGTAGCCCATTAAAAATTATATTAAAAAATATGCGTCCATGACGTCTTCCCCCACTGCCAATAATGCTTAATTTTATATAAAAGTGTTTCAGAAAAAAATTACGATTGCGCTATCTATCAAACTATGTCTTAAACGTTAAAATTTCTAGTACAAAATCTTCGCAAGTTGTAAAAATATAAATCTGTCTTTACCTGAACCGTCATTTCCATCTCTTGCAACACGCATGCGAGTTCTCATCTTCGTACGTGCACGCGTGTTTTGTACATAGGGGCGTGTTTGGCCGGGGCGTGTTTGGCCGGGGCTACGTCCGCAGCTAGACCTTACTCTGAAAAGTAGGTCTAGGTAAATGGTTAATATAAATATAATATAAAATATAAATCTGTCTTTACCTAGACCTACTTTTCAGAGTAAGGTCTAGCAGCAAACGTATTGGTCTCTGCTTGCTCACTGCGTGTGAACATGTCATCAAAGCGTAAGTGTCGCCTGATGTCTTGGAAGTGGTTTCGGCATAGTTGCAATGATCCTTGGGTTTGCCAGGTTTGCTGACCAGCTGTCACGTAGTGATGGAACCTTGGTCACCCCTCCGCAAGATAATGACTGCAATAAATGCCATTAGTTCAGGGAGATCCAAGAACCAGTCCACCTGCTCAGTGTGACGTGCATGCTGAGTAGTCCATTCTTGAATGGTTCGAAGCATGTCAAGAGTGATAAAACAGAGGAAGCTCTGAAGTCGACTCCGGATACATCGTTTGGCCTTAGCCAGTGGCTCTCCAGCTGTGGCGTAAGGTATGAGGTATATGGAGACATGTCCCCACTTGTTTTTCACACCACACAGTGCCATCTTTTGAGGTCTCTGTCAGCTCACTCCCCAACCAAGCTCTTTTTTTTGGTAGAGGATCTCCTCATCTGCAAGATAAACAATTTTAAATTAACTTTTTGTTTGGTTCTAAATAAAAAGAGATAGCAAGGAAATGAAAATAGGTAGTTTGAGAAATCTAACCTGAAGATAGCTCAGAGTCCGAATCTGGTTGTCTTCTCCATCTGCGTCACAAGGGTTGGCCTTGCTCACGATCAGTTCCAATGCCTGTTGAGTGGTTAGCCTCCTTTGCATTTTGTTTCTTGTCAATTAAATAGGTGAAGCAGTCACCTATTTATCCTCCACAGCACTAAAGGCTACATGCAAATTTCTGTAGCTGTTGCTCAGGAAAGTTGATTTACAGTTTTTTTTTCAATTAGTTTGGCTCATTTCTCGAAACTGCTTTGCAAAGAAATACATACATACATACATACATAATACATTTATTTAGTCTGGCTTGCCAGGCTAGGATAATGCGGCACAACATCATGTGACTTTTGTGTGAATTCATCTCTCCTCCCCCCTGCTGATCCCTCTGGCAATGGCCACATTTACAAATGAAGGGATGCTAATTGGAGCTATCAGAGTCATCAGTTTGGGTCTTTTGACCCTGCTTCAGGACTTCAGGGGGGATGTTGAAATTTTTGGGACTTCTAGTGTTGAACCTAAATAGTCTTTTTTTTTTTTTTAGTTTATTGGTGAGAATTATTTGTTGTGACATATCCTGTTCTGATTTGTCGTCTATACTTTTTGAAAATGATCTTTAAATGTTATTGAAGAGACGTGTCCACTATCTAGTGTTAGCGGGCAGGTGCCTTTCAAATTTTCTTCATGAATTTTCTAGTTATTATTATTATTAGTAATAATAGTAGTAGTAATACGTCCGACCCGTAAAACTGCCGCTTCGCCCCTGTGAATCGCCACCTGAAGGCTGCATTTTGTCGGATTCCACCACTAGAGCTCCCCTGGCGGCTCACCTGCTCCGCACCGCCCGCCTGTCTGTGTTTACCTCTCATTCCCAGCGCTGCTGTGGCGGTGGCAAGCTGGGCACAAACCACAATACCCACCTTGGAGCTCGGGAAATATTACTCTAAGCCGCCTGGACCCCTGTCATTTTGGGATTTTCTGCTACGTCGTGCGTCCCTGCCACTGTGGCGAAGGTGAGTTTATTATCAGGAAAATAGCTCAACAGCTACAGGCGTTAGCATCGTTAGCTCCCGTTGCTAATGTCGTGAATGTGGATTGTGAACACCGCGTCTCCACACACCAGTGACTTGTTACCAAGTTACATGTTTTGTAAGGATAGACCGTGATTAATTTGTAGCTTTAAGTATGACCATTCCTTCAGCTTTGTTGTTAAAACGGTCTCCGTTCTCCAATAAGTTTGTTAGCGTCACATGCTAAGCATGCTACCTATCAGTTGGCTAGCTTCGCTAACAAATATAAAATCACGTTTGCTAATTTAACATTAGCATAATTTTATCAGTTAATTTCACACTGTATAGATTCTCTAAAATGAGTTGGTTCAAATTAGTAAGAAAAGTAGAAACGAGTTGCTCGTGACAAAGCCAGCTAGCTGCTAGCTCGTTAATGGCCTCCTTAGCTCTTCTTTGTTGCAAAATATCATAATTAGGAATTTTATTCACATTAAAAGTTCAATCTCCTAGCCACAATGCTACCAACGTGGTTTATAGCAACATAAATCCGTGCTTGATGCAAATGTAATTCCCATGTTCGTTACTAACGGGTTAATGGGTCAGTGTGAGGCCAACATCTAAGGGAACGCTGCGGTCCAAACCTGACAAATTTGGTTTAATCACTTTTCTTTTGTGTAACTTTCCATTTGGCTTGGACCTAAGCAGAGATGTTATTTAGAGTTCTTGCCGTCTCTTTGTTTACAACGACGGCAGTAGAGCCTCATCAACTTGAGCTGGCTTGTTTCCCTAAAGGTTATTGTCCTGATTTATCTAGGTGGTCATTTTATCTTAATGTAATGGGACATATTTGCAGTGATTGTGTTGATATGCCAGCATAGCACAGCATGGTGGTGGGAGATGTTGAGGAGGAGGGGACCTGCTGCCTGGGTATTTTTGGCACAGGTGGCCCTCATTTACACTTATTGCTTGTGACACTGAATATTGGTGCTAGCATTGCCCAAAGAAACGTCACCACATATAGTTATTATTGTATTCTTCTTTAAAACTTTAGTTTAACGTCCGCTTTCAGATTATTTTTGCTCAACAACTCTTTTAACAATTCACAATTGAGATGATTGTAACATTCCTTTGCGAAACGTCTGGACCTTTGATATTTTCTAAACGTTTTTGCTTCCAGACCACAAAATCTGAGTAATGTGAGCTTAACTTTACATGATGTATACAAAAATGTATAAAACAAAAACACATTAGGACAACATCAAGAGCTTCAACAAGCATGATACATATCTCATTTATCTAACTGTTCTCTTGTTACAACTGGGACAGAAAATAAGCAACTAGCAAGGATTTTAAATTTAATTTAATTTGACATCTGAAGATCATCTCAAAGCCCCATGTAATGGTTTGGGTCCCAAATTCTTTTGACTTGAGTGTTCTGGTCAGCGTCTTAAAATTCATTCATTAAAAAATCCACGTTTGTGTTCTTGATCTGTAAATCCTCTCTAGACTTTAAATTTTTTCCCAATTCTGGTTTTAAATAAAAACAAAAAATAGTGTTAATTTGTAAAATTCTTCTAAACTTGTTAACAGTGTCAAACAATTACTGCTGGCAGCTTTATTTAATAATACATCAAACCAAAAGTTCCATGATGTTATCAACAAAGTCAATTAAAAACTGTTATTATTTTGAAGCCTGTGCTAAATTAACTCATCATTTGCTTCTGAGTATCATTTTAGTTTTGTTTTAGATTTTAATATTTTAACTGGTTTTACCTTTTGGACAAATATTTTTCCTTTGGCCCTCAGTTGTCACTAATGTTCATATGTATGCACAAAGTATTAAGATGAGTTATCCCCTTTTGACATCTGCCACTGCAGAATATCCCCACTGAGCTCACTATCCTAGTGTGAGAGCTTAAAGTATTTTTATGTTTAGCTTTTGGCTGAGATTTATGGAAGTGACATCTTGGATTTCACGGATGGTTTAGAGGAAGGTTCATGAAATTGGATTTAAATTTCTTAAGATATCGGTTTAGGTCAGCCTTGTGCACCACAGTAAAGGGTAAGCATCATTGAAGGTCTAAGAGTTTTCCTTTTCAAAATTTGGCATTGTCAGATAAATTATGGCTGAAGAAAAATTGATTATTGATGGGTAATAAAATGTTTCAACGTTTTTCCTTTTTTAGACATGGCTAATTATTAAAGGTAATTACTCTTAATATTTTTGGAGCAATATGAGTAAATCTTTACTTTAAAGGTATATGGAACAATGTAATAAACAGATTCATTTAAAAAAATATACCTCCACTGGGCATTTAGGTGTGCAGAATGAAGGTACACTATTTCCTGTAAAAGCTATAATTTAATTAAAAAATATTTTTTTATTTTGATGGACACGGTATTGGGTTTATGTTTACATTTACCAGCCAATAGGGGGGCACCATTTGGGTTGCCAAACACGACACAACAAGGCTGGCACTGTGGTAAAGGACCGACTAGACAAGTCAAGTAGGGCTGCAACAACGAATCGATAAATTCGATGAAAATCGATTACTAAAAGCGTTGGCAACGAATTGCGTCATCGATTCGTTGTGTCGCACAACTCTTCCAGACCAGAGCAAGTCAGGTCAGCGCAAGGGAGAGCCGGTACCAGCAGCGAGGGAGAGCCGGCAGACTTGCGCTGCTGCGAACCGGTTCCGCCCGAGGCCGGATTAACTGGGCAATTGCCCAGGGCCCACGAACTCTAAAGGGCCCAGGGCACGAGCAAAATACTGTATCTATAATTTCCCGCTTTATGAGGACTATGGTGACCGTACGTTCCGTTTTCCCCGGACATGTCCACTTTTCACTCACTGTCCGGGCGTCTGGACTGCGGGTTCTTGTATTGATGAAAATGTCCGGCTTTTCATCCAGGAGCAGGGATCGAATTATGGGGGAGCTGGATATCCTACACATCCAGGAGAGCCGGAAAAAAGTTTTCTATATTATATCATTTTTGGACTCTTTTGAGCAGAGAGCGGCACAGCGCATTGTTGCGCAGCGATCCAGGCAGCTGCTTCCAGCGCACGGTCCATTCTCAAAGTGGCGCAACCAAAAAACTATAATTAGCACACAATCGTTCATGTCTGCACATGTTCTCTATTTTCTGTCTTATTTGTGCCTGAAGCGCGCTACTGCGGAGCTCATCACCTGTGCTGTGGTGATGTCACCTCACGCAGCATCGAAAACGCGCTCTGCGGTTTGCGGTCAGGAGATCCCTTTGATCTGCTCAAAAGTAACTGATGAGGTGAAAAGGTAAGAATCCAGGCAACAGATTTTCTGGAGAATTAAGAGGAGATGCAGGAAGATGAGAGACAGACAGGACAGGAACATAGTTAAATAAAAACAAGAAAACAAAACAAAGTGTTGAAAAGTAAAATGTAGGTAGATTTATCTCCACTACACGTTTTTACCAGTAAAAAAAAAATAAGTTATACACATGTCGTATTTATACATCTGATACAATTCAGATCACCTTCAAAACTCAGTCACACACACCCAGGGCCGTTTCAAGACATTTTGGGGGCCAAGGCAAAATGCCCCCCCCCCCCCCCCCCCCATAACTGGGCTCCCCAGAAGCCTCTGTGTAATTCATACCCTCTCCAGTAGTGTTAGTTATACAGTGTTTATAAAAGCCCCTCAGACATTACTGACATGTTCTAATATTATCAGATGAAAAACTAAATTATCAGACATGCTGTCTCATCTGCTTCTTTTCCAAACTTGTAAAAAGTAACAAAACCATTTGAAAGCCACTATTTGTGGATTCTCTGAAAGTTTCCATGGAGTGTGGGACAACTTATTTTTTCATTGATCCTATCGTCTAATCTCACAGCTGAAACAAGCATCCTTAATAATCTGTGCACAGGAAGCGTACCGATGCTGTAGTAAAACAAAAGGTATAATAATTTATTATTAATAAAACCTTGTTGCAGAACTAAAGCAGAAAAATGAGATTTTGCAATAAATATGCAAAATATTTACATATGAATTGTAGGGCTGCAACAACGAATCGATAAATTCGATGAAAATCGATTACTAAAAGCGTTGGCAACGAATTGCGTCATCGATTCGTTGTGTCGCACAACTCTTCCAAAAGCGCCCCCCCCCCCTTCCCGCCCGCCGTTGCGCGCAGACCAGAGCAAGTCAGATCAGCGCGAGGGAGAGCCGGCAGATCAGCGCGAGGGAGAGCCGGTAGATCAGCGCGAGGGAGAGCCGCAGATCAGCGCGAGGGAGAGCCGCAGATCAGCGCCAGGGAGAGCCGGCAGATCAGCGCGAGGGAGAGCCGCAGATCAGCGCCAGGGAGAGCCGGCAGATCAGCGCGAGGGAGAGCCGCAGATCAGCGCCAGGGAGAGCCGGCAGATCAGCGCGAGGGAGAGCCGCAGATCAGCGCAAGGGAGAGCCGCAGATCAGCGCGAGGGAGAGCCGGTACCGGCAGATCAGCACGAGGGAGAGCCGGCAGACTTGCGCTGCTGCGAACCGGTTCTGCATTGTCGCGCAGCGATCCAGGCAGCTGCTTCCAGCGCACGGTCCATAAGTGGCGCAACCAAAAAACTATAATTAGCACACAATCGTTCATGTCCGCACATGTTCTCTATTTTCTGTCTTATTTGTGCCTGAAGCTCGCTACTGCGGAGCTCATCACCTGTGCTGTGGTGATGTCACCTCACGCAGCATCGAAAACACGCTCTCCGCTTTTCGGTCAGGAGATCTTTGATCTGCTCAAAAGTAACTGATGAGGTGAAAAGGTAAGAATCCAGGCAACAGATTTTCTGGAGAATTATGAGGAGATGCAGGAAGATGAGAGACAGACAGGACAGGAAAATAGTTTAATAAAAACAAGAAAACAAAACAAAGTGTTGAAAAGTCAAATGACACGTTTTTACCAGTAAAAAACAATAAGTTATACACATGTCATATTTATACATCTGATACAATTCAGATCACCTTCAAAACTCAGTCAC